GCTTGCCAGGCAGGCGCTTTGCCGCTGAGCTAAATCCCCAGCCCCCTAAATCAACTCTTTAGGTAAAAAACTATCTGCTGAGACCCACAGAGCCTGACCATGGCCTGGCCATTACTGAAAATGGTAACTCACACTCTGACGTTAAAACAATCACTTGCCATAATGTTCTAAAAGGCTAGACTGGTTTATTAGGCTATGGTTGAAGGACACTCTGGGAAATTACAAGTTTTATGGAATGTGACCAAAACAAACAAACAAAACAAAACAAAAAAAATCCACAGCTGGGCGTGGTGGCACATGCCTGTAATCCCAGCACTGGGGAGGGAGGCTGAGGCAGGAGGATCATTGCAAGTTCGAGACCAGCCTGGGACACAAAGTGAGCTTAAGGCCAGCCTGAACTGCATAGTGAGATCCTGTCTCAAAAAGAGACCAAAAAAAAAAAAAAAAACAGACCGCCACAGTCCAAGAGTCCAATTTGTAGTTACCTACTCAGAGACTTGGCCTGGACAACAATGAATAATAGGAACAAACCTCCCAAGTTAAAAGTAGCAGAAATAAAAAGCCCCAAGTAGTATTCTGTCATCAAGATATGCAGTTCAAGCTAGTTCATAGAGGTAGTGGGCAGTTATGTGAAAAATTAGTATGTTTTGTTGAATGAGGTACAAACTGTTAAATCAATGGTGAAATGTATAAAAAGACACTTAAAAAATTAATTTTTAGTGGTAGCAATTCTGGGGTTAGCTTTCAAAAAATATAGTTCAGCACAGATTTAGTGATGACTGAACCAGAAAAGAAAAAAGAATAGCAGATGTATAAAGAATGGCATTGCCCTAACCATCCCAGAGAGTTGGCACCTTACCCAAGCCTTTCCTTGCTCTCTTCCGGTGTGAGCTGATCAAAAGTCTTTGCTTCTTCAGCACCCAAGAAGGCATCATGGTCATAATCAAAACTCTGGGCATCATCGTGAACTTTGTCACTCAGCTGAGGCTCATGATGTACACGGTCCTTCTTTTCTGTAGGCTTGCTCAAGGCAAAGGCTGTGCACAGGGACAGGCACATAAGAAACTGTCGTAGGTCCATGATCAGATCTTAAAGAAAATGAAAGGCAGTTACTATAGGAGGCAGTATGCCTAATAATTACATAAACCAAAAGTTCACAAAATTCTATGCAAGTCATTTGTATTACTCAAAAATATTACTTCACCCATTAAGTACGGTAGAATCAAACTCTCTATAGTGTTTTTACAGTAGAAAATCTTTACCAGTTTCCTTCATCATCTGGTTGTAGAAGAGAAGGAATTTATAACTACAATGTCCTCTTTGTAAGTAGAGTTTCCTTTTTTTTTTGTCTTTTTGAGACAGGGTCTTGCTACGCAGTCCAGGCTGGCCTTGAGCTCACTTTGTAGCCCAGGCTGGTCTCAAACTCGCAATGATCCTGCTGCCTCAAGCCTCCTGAGTGCTGGGATTACAGGTGTGTGCCACCACAGCCGGCACTGTGAGTCTCTTTAAAAGACATTGATGTAGAATTTTAATCCCTGTGGTCAATTTGGTAAGAATTAAAAGTGAAGGAACCATAATTTAAATTCTGACTTCAAATCCTTTACTTTTTGTAGTGTAACAGTGGTCTAGTCTTGAAACCTGACTAGTTATTAAAATCACATAAGGAAGCACTGAGTAAGCTTTCCCCATTGATATAGAATCTCTCACAATGAATTCAGGTATATCTGTAGCTTTGAATGCTTCTAAAGTGATTCTGAAGCTCACCAAATTGTGAACCAATGAAAAACTCAGCTTCCTTGACCTATAGCTCCCATCTCCCATGTATATGCTAACTAATCTTGAATCACCTTCGAACACCAACAGTCCATAAGGTCTGTATAACAATTTCTTCATCTTTCTGTTTAGCTGTGTTTCCCAAATTTGCCCAACAGTCCATAAGGTCTGTACAGCAATTTCTTCATCTTCCTGTTTAGCTGTGTTTCCCAAATTTGCCCAGGTGTAAGAATCACCTGCAGTACTGGTCAAACTAGATACCTAGGCCCTACTCCAGACCTTAGTCCTGCTGCAGTCACAGGTAAATCTAATGAACAAGCACAAGGCAGGAACAACTTTATTGAAAAAATGTAACTAAAAAACTGCAGAAAAGCTGCAGGTTAGACATTTCTTTGGGGACTGGGTATGCAGCTCAATGACAAAGTGCTTGTCTAGATGCACAAGGCTGAGACCCTGAGTATGATTCCAAACAATCTGTGTAACACACTCTATTTTTTTTTTGGTCTTTGAGACAGGGTCTTGCTATGCAGTCCAGGCTGGCCTCGAGCTCACTTTGTAGCCCAGGCTAGTCTCAAAATTGCAACAATCCTTCTGCCTCAGCTTCCAAAGTGCTGGGATTACAGGTGTGCGCCCATCACACCCTGCAGTTTAACACACTCTAAATACCCTACAATTCTATCCAGAGAGATTAAGATCTTGAAGGAATAAAATTTGAAAGGGGCTGGGCTGGTAGGGCACGCCTATAATCCTAGCTATCACAGAGGTCGGAGGCAGACAGCTCTCATCTTTAATGCCAGCCTGGGTAACTTAGAGAAACCCTACCTCAAGATAAAGGGTTGAAGACGTACAGTACCTCAGTGCTCCCCGAGTTCAATCCCTAGTACATTCATTAAATAAATCAATGTGAAGGATTTTCCTAGGCTTTTTGTATTTTTTTGTTTGTTCGTTTTGGTTTTTTTTTTCCCTGGTACTGGGAATTGAACTCATGACCTTGAGCTTGCCAGGCAGGCGCTGGGCTCAGCTAAATCCCCAGCCTCCGGCTTTTTGTATTTTGATTAGTCTCTAATCAGTGGAATATGAACTCTAAAAGTCCCCTATTATTGAGAAATTTTTGCAACTTTGTATTATTTCTTATTCATTTCCTACAATCCCTAATACCGAGTAACTGTGAACATGCCTTTCTTTGCAGATGTAATCAAGTTAAAACGAGGTCATATTAGTTTAGGGTGGGCCCTAGTCCAAAGACTGGTGTCTTTAGTTAAGGAAATGTGGACACAAACCAGGATGAGAACGAACTGTAGAAGACGTGCTGACTGGAATGATACATCTACATGTCAGAGAACGCCAAGACTGCTGACAGCTACCAGCAGCTAGGAATAGGCAAAGGAAACTCCTCCCCCGGAGCCCTCCGAGAGCAGGGTCCTGCTGACACCTATGACTCTGAATTTAGTCTCTAGAACTGTGACAGAGAATAATTTTCTGTTCTTGTAAGCTACTCAGTTTGTAGCAACTTGTTCCAGCAATGCTAGGGAAGTAATACAATTAAAGTTACACTGCATCACATGCAAGTTAATGTATTCTTTTGTCTCAGTTTGTAGATTAAACCAGCTGGACTTCACCTTCCCCAGACATCACCAGTGGAACTAGCTAGTCTAGTGCTCATATTTTATATGTAAATACTTATAAAAGTAAGGAAAGTCTTCTAGCAGTTTCTAACTCAGAAGTTCTCAATTCAGACTCCATCCTAGCACACTGTATCTGACCCTGCCTCAATGTTTTGGGAACTAGAATGGAGTGAATTGTAACAGGAGATAAGGAAATTAAATATGTCAATATATTACACATTTTTCAATGTACATATTTTCCTTGTATCCCCCCGAACAATGGCCAAATGAAGTTATACTAGCTTGGATTTATAGAGACTTCTGGGTTAAAACCAAAACTTTTTGGGACAAGGTTTCACTATGCAGTTCAGGCTGGTCTTAAATTCACTTTGTAGTGAGTTTAAAATGCTTAACACGGATGATGGTAAATGTGTATATAAAGATTCCTTAAAAGTAAAAAGAAAGCAGCCAGGCATGGTGGTGTACACCTGTAATCCCAGCAGTAAGGAAAATGAGGCAGGAGGATCACGAATTTGAGCCCAGGCTGGGTAATTTAGTGGCTTAACAAGACCCTGTTTCAAAATAAAAGATTAAAGCCAGGTGCAGTGGTGCATTTGTGTAATCCCAGGAGGCTGAGGCAGGAGGATCCCTGTGCAAGCAAGGCTAGCCTGGGCTACATAGGGAGTTCAAGGCCAGCCTGAACTATATAGCAAAACCCTGTCTCAAAAAAGGGGTGGGGTAGGGGCTAGGGAAGTAGCTCAATGCAAAGATCCTCATTCAATCTCCAGTACCCCCTCCCTCAACAAAGAGGCTGGGTAGGCTGGTGAGGCCGGTACTAAGGTCAGCTTTAACACTACTCTTGCCAGGCACAGTAGTACATGATGCCTATAATCCCACCACAGGGAGGCTGAGGCAGTAGGATTGCCATGAGTTCCTAGAGCAGCCAGGGTTACATAGTGAGACTGTATCTCAAAAAAACAAAAAACAGTATGTGTGTGTGTGTGTGTGTGTGTATATATACTGTGTTGCCTGAGCTTTGTAAATGATCACACTCTTGTGACTGCCTTCTTGTGTGTGTGTATTACTTTTGTATGTGTGTGTGTATTACTTTTTAATTTGAATATTACAAAAATTCCTTCCAATACTAGGTGGCAAATATTTTCAAGCTATTTCCCCAGATTGAAAAAGGAAATTAAAGAAAAAAGAACTATTTTTAAAACATGTTGTGTGCACACGTGTGTGTCTTTTTGGGACAGGGTTTCACTATGCAGTTCAGGCTGGTCTTAAACTCACTTTTGTAGCCCAGGCTGGCCTCAAACTTGCATCAATCCTCCTTCCTCAGCTTCCTGAGTGCTGGGATGACAGCCATATGCCACCATGCGGGGCCAAGACATGTTATTTTTATAGTAAACGTTGTTCTAGGCCAGTGATGATGAACCTTTTATTTATTTGTTTGTCTTGGGGTTTTTCTGAGACAAGATCATGCTATCTAGTCCAGGCTGTCCCTGAATTCACTATGTAGCCCAGGTTTGCCACCACTGTAGGCAAATAACACTGCAGCTGACCCTTCAATAACTCAGCTGATCTGTCAAACGGGATGGAGAGTAAAGAGAAAACGAGAGACTGAGTAGCTCTCCTCTATCTCAGAATATAAATAATCCTTCATATAAACGAAACTCTAGGAACAAAATGTATTGTTGGTGTTTGGTGATACATTTAAGCAGTATCTATAATGTCAGAGGCTCATAGAATAAAGTAAAATAGTCACTGCAACAAAGGTTTTCCTTATTACTCAAAAGGGAACTTCACATTTAGGAAAATTTTATAAAAGGTTTACTTCACCCTCAGAATAAAATACAACATAGTATATGTATAACTCTTGCAAACACCAAATATGGATAAATGCTAAAAAAAACCTCTCACGGTCTGGAAAGGATGCTGTAGAAAGTTTTGAGATATCCAGCATATATGCTATACATGCATATATAACAGACTGATTTACTTTATGACTTAGAGGAAAAACTATGCTTATGTTTGAGGCTTATTTATTTATTTAGTACTGGGAATCGAACTCAAGACCTTGCGCTTGCCACACACGCACTTGTGCCGCTGAGCTGTATCCCCGGCTGTTTGAGGCTTAATGTCTTGATTCAAGGACCCAAGAAGAATCCAAAGACAGTAAAAGCCAACTAATTGGGCTTTATTATGTATCCATTTCTCTTCCCTCTCCCTCTCCATTAAACGTGCAACCCCCACTCCCATATGTATAGGTTCCTCTACAGGTCAATCAAACATCTCAGGTCTCCACCAAGCCAAATTAGTCTTCTCTGACTGTTATTTCTTTAAGTTTGCCCTCCTGTTCTTTTACCCCACGTGTGTCTGTCTACATTGCTCCTGCTTCCTTAACATTCACCTTAAAATGTGGCTATCTTAACACTGATGAAATGGCTTAAGATGGTCATCAAGGAACACGTGATGGCCAAAGACAATGGTCTGCCATCTAGTTTTCACCTCTGCAGTGGCTAATGAAAAATCTGCACTTTTAATAACTTCTACTTTAAATTGCAAGTTCAAGCCCTACCTGGGTCATCTGGTGAAAACTTCTCTGGGGAAGCAGATCAGTGCAAAGGTGCTAGGTTTAATCCCCTGTACCTAAACAATAACAAGTCTTAGAGGCTGGGGGTGGGGATGCAGCTCAGTGGTAGAGTGCCTGACCCACAAATCCTGGGCTGGGTGTGCTGACACACCTGTAATCCCAGCACTCGGGAGGCTGAAGCAGGAGGATCGCTGCAAGTTTGAGGCCACCCTGGGCTACATAGTCCAGGTCAGTTTGAACTAAATAGCAAGACCTTGTCTTAAAAAGTGTGAGGTCCTAGCTCAATCCCTAAGACTGTACCAAAAAATAAAAATAAAACCTCTTTGTGACCACATATTCACATTTATCAACTCCTAGCTACTAAATCTTTTGCCAGGTGTGGTGGCACATGCCTGCAATCCCAGCACTTGGGAGGCTGAGGCGGGAGGATTGTTGCTGAGTTCAAGACTAGCCTGGGCTACAAAGTGAGCTCAAGGCCAGCCTGTACTGCATGGTGAGACCCTGTCTCAAAAAGACAAAAAAATCCAACAACTTTAACAAAGGGTCTCTTGTTTTATGACTGTGGATGTACACATAACAATATAAGTAAGAAACAAAAAAAACTAGATTTACCTACAAAAATTTTCAAGTAGAAACAAATGATATCCTTGTAAGACAAAGGACATTTTGTTGAGGAGAGATATGAAAAGCAATAGTACAAAACAAGGTTTTATGCAGAGCATTTGAAGAATTACATTAATGGAGTTCATTTCAAAAGCATCTTTCCCTTTTTAATGAAGTGAATCCAATGATAGAAATGCTTCTCAGCCGGGCATGGTGCTGCACTCCTGTAATCCCAGCACTCAGGCAGCTGTGGCAGGAGGATGACTGCGAGTTCGAGACCAGCCCGGGATACAAAGTGAGCTCAAGGCCAGCCTGAACTGCATATCCAGACTGTGTCTCAAAAAAGACAAAAAGAAAAAAAAAAGAAATGCTTCTCATTTCCTCTCCTCAACGTTCTTCACTTACAATTAAAATAGACAACCACATTTATATAAGTTAAAAATGTCACCCTTCATGGTTTGATGAAAGACATATTGACAAACCACTTATTTAACATTTCTCTAGTGACAGTGAATTTATATCAGTTCATTAATACATTCTAATTAACTGTGACTGGAACTATTACTCAAGCTTCATTAGTCCTACAATCAAAGCAACCCAGGACAAACTAAATTTTTCTGGATATAGAACCAAAAATTTCTTTGCAAGGGAAGAGTTCTAAAATTCTGGAGAAAAAAATTCTTTTTGGTTGATGAAACTTTTAATACATAATTAACACAGGAATGCTATGCAAAATGTAGGGAAATGCCGGGGTGGTGGCATACACCTGTAATCCCGGCACTGGGGAGCTCAAGGCAGGAGGATCACTGTGAGTTCAAGGACAGCCTAGGCTACATAGCAAGACCTTGTCTCAAAAACAAACAACAAACAAACAGGAGCAGCAGCTTTTTATCTGCTGAATTTTGCTGTGTATGGGTAACATACATGAATGTTTACGAATAATTTTAAGGTCCCAAATGAAAAGACCTATTTACTTCGACCACTCCAGCTGGAAGTGATCTGTATCAGTTTTGCTAAATGTTACAGAATGTGTCTGTATCACTACATAATAACGATCATATTCTAGATTTTCTTAGTGCCCCTATAGATTATACAAAAAATGTTGGCATCTCAGCTAATATAATTATTATCCGTCTGCAGTTCCTAATACATTGTCTTGGACTTTTTAAATACCAATACACTTTACTGGATAAACTAGATGGTACTTGGCAACACTATAACTCCTGCCTATCTGTGCTCTCCAATCCTCAGTTCCTCTCACTGCATCTGGCTAAAAGCCAACTACCAGAAAAAGTGTTACTTCAGCTATCTTAACTCTAATACACGAATTACAGTATCAGCAACATCCATATTCAAGAGTTCATACAGGATCTAGGGCCTTACAGCCTACCAAGTACTGCCAACAGCTGTACCTCTGTCCCTCAACATCCATGCTATAAAAAATCTGTGCCAATCCCAGCCCTCAGAAGGCTGAGGCAGGAGGATCGCTGCAAGTTCAAGACCAGCCTGGGCTACAAAGTGAGCTCAAGGCCAGCCTGAACTGCATAGCAAGACCCTGTTTCAAAAAGACAAAAAAAAACAAACAAACAAACAAACACAAACAACTGTGCCAGCCAGATGTGTGGGCACACACCTGTGATTCCAGAACTCTGAGAGGCAGAGACAGAGGTAGGAGGATCACAAGTTCGAGCCTAGCTAGGGCAACTTACCAAGACCGTGTCTCAGAGGAAAAAGGGGGAAGGGCTGTAGATGTAGCATGACGTGAAGGCCTGGACTTAATCCCCAGTACAACAGCCCTCATCAAAATCTGTGCCAATATCAACATGCTGATCTCCTATACAGGTACAAGGTATATAGAGCTAGCAGTCATGGGAGACAGCTAGCAGTAAGTATTTCTCTTTTTTGGTTTCGCTACGCAATTCAGGTTGGCTTTTAACTTATTTTGTAGCCCAGGCTGGCCTCAAACTCACAGCAATCCTCCTGCCTCAGCCTCCTGAGTGCTGGGATTACAGGCGTGCGCCACACTAAGCTGAGTATGTTCTGCCACATCACTGGATAAATGGAAGCAAACAAAGACAGAATGATCAGACATTGGTTTAAAGCTGTACTGAGGACCATCCATTCAGACATACTCCATTTTTGGAAGCTTGTGTTTCTCTTAGTTATCATTGTCAGGAAAAAAAATTCTACTGGAGCACCTTGAATCACTGTAAAACTCAGATTAGGACTTGGCATATTCATCTTCTCTGCGCTGATAATACAATTTATGAGGGGCCAGGAATATAGCTCAGCAGCACAGCATCTGCCTGGCAAGCACAAGGTCCTGAGCTGGATTCCTGCTACCAAAAAAAAAATTATGGGTTATCTCTAGTTTTTCAGATGGATGATCTTTAGTGAAAAATTTTTTAGTGACACTGTCCTGTTCATTGGTGCATGGTTAAATCTACTGAATGAGGTCAAACATGCATTTGTCTTGAGCCAAGTTCCATATTACTGCAAGGATTAATTTATCAAAAGCTCCAAGGTTCTCTACCTCCATCTTCAAAAAAATTAAAATAGCCGGGCGTGCTAGAGCATGCCTGTAATCCCAGCACTTGGGAGGCTGAGGCAGGAGGATCGTTGCAAGTTCGAGGCCAGTCTGGGCTACAAAGTGAGTTCAAGGCCAGCCTGAACTGCACAGCGAGACCCAGTCTCAAAAAGACAAAATAAATAAACAAATAAATAAAATAAAAATAAAATACTACAACCAAAACAAATTGGAAGCAAATTACCGATTCATTGACACTGACTTTATGGTTCATCCCAGGAAGTGAATCCGGTTCAGTTCTTAAAAACGCTGTTCTGGGACTTTATACATTCAGAAATTCGGATCAAAGGCAGAAAAATTTTAGTGGGAGACCCACGGAATTTCTGCCTTGATGCAAAACAAACTTTTTAAACTGCAAACCACTCAACTACAGTTTTAATCACGGTAGCCGAAGGGAAATAAATTCATTTCTAAATACAGCAAGCCAACTATGAAAACCAGAATCTGGAATTAGAAGCAACAAAACAAGGTTTAAAAAAAAAAAAAAGTAATTCCCTATGAATGCCTTTGAAATTGATTCCCGTTGCTGCCTTAAATATGCAGATAAACAGAGAAGCTCGAAAATTTCGACTTTTCTTTAAAGTTACAGAACATACTTTAAAAATACCACCCGGTGCCTTCGCTCGACCTCTCTGCCCGCGTCCCCACACCCTGAAGTCGGAGCGCGCGGCTTTCCCGGGACAGACGCGCGGCTCCGGGATGCGGCCCGGGCGGGGCGGCGGGCCCCGGCAGGCGGCGAGCGGCCGCGGGCATCGCGCACAGGACCCCACCCACCGCCCTCCGACCCTGTTCTGCCACATCACTGGATAAATGGAAGCAAA